TGGTGGCCCACAAGAGGGAGATCTAGAATAGTTCAGCACCCAAATGTGTCAGGAAATGGACATCCTGAAGGATTTGCCGGAGTCCAGGACAACCAAGTGTTGGGGTGTCTCATCCCCATCCCCTGGTGGGGAAGGCTATACCCCTCTATGCACATTCTGGAATCCATTGGAGTAGCAGTGACAAACTGAAGAGCATTCTATAAAAGATGCATCTAACTAATTTTCTTATGCAGCAGCAAAAGCAGAGAATCAGGAATGGTTCAACTGGCCAGAGACGCGTGGCACCGATTTGTCATCTGTGTTTGGTGCTGGTCCACACCCCTGTGAAGGATACGGATAACCAGCATCTCCCTCTTACCCTTGGAATATCGGCATGCTACAGCAAGAGTCCCCTGGTAGGTGATCTGATAATTGAGCGCACGCACAACCACAACCCCAGGAAGGAAGGAAACTCAGACTCATGGGTCAGGCTGGATTAGCCCTGAGGACACTGTGCTGAGTGACATAAGTCAGGCACAAAGGACATGTCCTGTAGGATTCTGCTTGTCCGAGGGCCTTCAGTGGTCATATTCTGAGAGACAGAAGGTGGAACACACAGTGGTGATGGCTTCCTACCACTGTGACCATACTTAATGCTACGGCTCTGTACACATAAAGACAGCTAAAATGGGAAATACGTGTTATGTACATTTTGCCACAGTTTTAAAATGGTGAAAAAACAGTGCTATTAAGAGGGGACACTTGAGAGAGACAAAGTCAGGGTGGAAAGACTTCGGCCACACAGTGGGAAGTGCACAGCTGTGTGACTGTCTTATTGAGCTGTACTCTGCCTGGACTCTTCCTGGGGAAGGTGAGCAGTCTGAAACCTGCTTCCCCTGATGGGGAGCCCAAAGTCCAGGTCAGGACATCCCTGTGGGTCTTGTCCCACATCACGGCCTCTCAAGCAGTGCCTGTTCTGGTGAATGCCTAGGAAACCAGTGGCACCAACAGAAGCCAGGAGGAAGCATGAGAAACAGTGACCGGCGCAGCCCCAATGAAACAGGAGACAGGAGACACTCTTGTGGACGACAGTTAACTGCTCGTTTATTTACGCGGGCTCTGGTTTATATATTTGGCCATGACCAATCACAGGCTGCCACAAGGAAGCAGGGTGGGAATGGGATGCAGGCTCTGGCTACTATATCCAGCTGTGGCCAATCAGGAGTTGCCACAGAGTACGGAGTAGAGCGTGGGGTGCGCACGGGTTGGCTAATTTAAAGAGGGACGTAGCGCATTGCGGAAGCTGGCGTGGTCCTTAGTCCCGGGTGGGGTATGGTATGTTGAGCGCCTGCGCCCAACAAAACAGCCTCTTGCACTGAGGTATCTCAGGTAGACAAGTCACAGTAGTCACCAGCAGCTCCTGGAGGAGCAAAGGAAGAGTCAGAAAGATCTTTGTGCTGTGGCCACATACAGTAGCTTCCTCTCAACACCTGTGCCAGTCAGTTTTCCATTACTGTGATAAAACACTTGAGACAGTCAATTTAAAAAGATGGGCAGTTTTTTTGGCTCACAATTTAGGAGCTTCCGGTCCAAGAATGGTTGGGCTGTTGCTTTTGGTCTGTGGTGAGGCAGCTCCTCAGGATGGGAGTCTGGTGGAGCCAGGAAGTAAAGAGGGAGAAGAGAGCAGCACCCCACAGCGCCCCTTGAGGACACCCCTGCAGGGACCCAGCCCACACTTCCAATCCCCTTAATGTGTCTACCACCTTCCCTAGGCACCAGCTGGAGACTAAGCCTTTAACATGTGGGCTTGGGGGTGGTGCAGATCCAAAGTTCAGCACCGTCCAAGCCCACCAGGCACAGCACAACTTCCCAGTGACCGCAGGTCAGACCTGGGAAGGCTGAGAAAGGAGGAAGGGGAAAAAAAGGGAAGAAAGGAGGAGAGGGTGGGGAGGGAAGTGGGGAATAGAGAAAGAAGAAAGAGAAAGAAAGAGGAAAGAGCAGGGATGGGCAGGACAAAAAGAAATAAGAAATAAAAAAGCTGTCACATCTCAGTGTTCACAGACACAAGCCAGCAGACCTACAATTCACAAACACCAGTGACTTAGGTGTGGCCCTCAGGTCCTAGATTTAGGATGGAGCACTGAGGCTTTCTCAGTGAAAATTCTATCTGAGAGAGAAATCCCGGACATCTAGAATTCTCAGGAAAAGGCCACCAACTACCCAATACCCCAGTAAAGCATTTTTCTCTCTAAATTATGCAGTCATAAAATAAACCTTCCCTGAGGCCTGGCTTTGATTCCACAGGTCAGGATCGTGCCCAGAGAGACAAGGCGGATGGCATTCCAGTACTTTAAAGAGGGGCTTCCTGTTGAGGACTGGAGTCTTTACCCAAGCCCTAAGCAGCCAGACGCCAGGAGAGAGATTTAGGAAGGAAGAAAATCTGGTCGTCAAGGCTCCTCTCCTCCTCCTCCTTCCCTCTCCCCTCGTCCCCTGCCCTCCCCAGCAAAGAAAACACAGGTTTCCAACTCAGGCGGATGTGGCTGTGAATTCCGGCGCCACCATTGACTAATTACATGGTCTTGGGCAAGCTAATTAATGTCATTAAGCCTCAGTTTCCTTCCTCGGTGAAATTGCATCTGACTCTATCATCATTTGCTGGTTGCTTGAAGGATGAAAGGAAAACAAACAGAGGGCCTCAGTCACTGATTTATTTGGAAGAGCTCATGGCGGACCAGGTCAATAATTTGCTTTTGTAAATGTTAGTTCCTTTTTCCCTTTCCCTAAGCAAGAGAGAAAGGAATTAGTTTCATTATCACTATCTTGTAGAAAGGGTAATAAAAGCTTTTTTGCATTTATATTGGTGCCCAGGTCATTAAAGTTACTTGGTGAAAGATATTTATATGTATATATGTGTGTGTATATATATATAAATGCATGTTAGGCATACTATTATGTTATTGTAACAAATTTACAAACTAAATCTCAAAACATTATACAGTCACACTAATGTAATGGGAGCACCTGTTGTGAAACAAGGCAGTCTTAAACCTGGCTCAGTATTTAATCCACTCTGTATTTGGGGCTTTAATAATAAGGCAGAGAGTGCCCTTCCATATCTACACATTACGCAAAAAGTCATTGTGAACACAAAGCCTTTGCTGGCTAGTTAGTTTAGTTTATATCACATTTAACCAAATTCCACCAGCAAGCAATTGGAGACGCCAGTTTAACTGGGCTGCTTTTACAATTGTAAACAGTTGCTCGCATAGAATTATCACTGGGTCCTACTGAATTCTACACTCAAGTGTGGGTAACGTTGCCAGGCTCAGGAGCAGGATTCAGTGCTAAGGTTGGTGACTGGTGCCTGCGGAAAGAAGAAAAATAGCTCTAATATCAGCATGGCCTGTTAGAGGAACTCTGCATGCTGAAAAGGAAGTATTTGCAATTTCAAGAACGACAGGACTATCACAAACTTCCTCATTGTTTCTTCCATTGTCTTCACATTGAAACGTCCAAACTGCTAGGAAGCCTCTGTTTGCCTGGTTACACCACTGAAGTCACTGGGCTTTACTCCCTGCAAGCTTATGTACCTATCAGGACTGCTGAGCTCTTGTTCCAGCAGCTTGTGAAACACAAAAGGCCCCTAGCTCCACCATAGTGCATCTAGGTCTCAATGTATTAAAGATGTATTAAGAAACAAACACCTTATATATGCAAATAGCTTTCAATGGCACATCTTTGGAAAAGGGGCTTTATCTTTATAACCATCCAATGGTTTCATATGACTGCAATATGATTTACCCGGATCCCTGCCTATCAGGATAGTCCTGAGCGTGAGATTCAGGCTTATCACCCAGTCTCACCTAGCATCCCGGGTCCAGGGAAGAGTCTGTCCTTCCTCTTGCAGTAACCTGCTGCCCAGGTTCTCAGCTCTGTCTTGGCTTTGCAACAAGTATGGCCACAGACAGAACAGCCTTACAGCAGTGGGCTCAGCCTGTATCACTGTCGGCCAAGATAATATCTTCAAGGAGAGGATGGAAAGAGGTTGACTCCTTTCTGGTTGTGAGTCCCAGGGAGACAGAGCGATGATTCAGATTGCTCCAGACCTTCCTGTCTAAAGCACACATCCTAGACACTTGTCTCTGGGGAGCCCTCAGCATACCTATAAATTTGACAGAGTCAAGTAAAAGTCACTTCCATGTCATTAACTTGTGCCTGGCACAGTAGTCACAGTTCAACCCTACTTCATGTTTTTGGAATCTGTTGCTGTCTAAAAACATCCCATATCTCAGTGGTATAAGGTTACAGTCATTCAATGAGCCCCTCAAGTCTGTGGATTGGCTAGACTTGGTTGGATATTCTTTTGTCCCATCTGGCATCCCCAAGACTGAGGTCCTGGGTGCTGACTTAACTCCCTGGGCCTGTGAACTGCACTGCGCCAGGATTCTGGGATGATCAGGTCTCTCCTTCATCCATACACTTTCTTCTTTTTTCTTAGAGACAGGATCTCACTGTGTAGTGCAGGCTCGTCTTGAACTTGCTTATGTAGCCTACACTGGCCTCAAACTCATGGTGATTCTCCTGCCTCAGCTTCCCAGCTTCAGACATGCACCACCATATCCGGCAGCATGTCCTTCTTTACCTGGGTCTACAAGCAGAGCAACCCAGCTTCTTCCAGAATGGCACTGAGACCTCCAAAGCATGAAGACGAAGCCGCCAGGTGTTCCTGTGGTCTAGACTGGGATGTTCAGTAATGAGCCTGCTGCTGGTGAGCTGAATGCAGGGCAGCCCAGATGCAGGGGCATGGACCCAGAGGGTGAGGTTCACCTACAGGAGCAGGAACAGGGGGTCGCTTGTATTCCTGCAGCTGGTAAATGACCAGTGTGCCATCAAACTCCAAAATTCAAACTCACATCTGCTGGTGTTGAACTGCTGTTTGCTTGGTCATAATTTGGAACGTACAGCTGAATTGCTCAAGAAAGCTGCGAGCCAGCCTGAGCGAACACTTGTAAATCATGCTGCATCAGCTCTTACACAGAGTTCTGCTATGTTTCAAGAAGCAGGAAGAAGAAACAGGCTCCCTGCTTGGGACAGATGGTGAAATGAGAAAACAGAGCCGCTGGACTCCTCTTTGGCTTTTATTTTCCAGGATCATTATCTTGAAACCACAGAGCACAGAGCAACAAGAGCTGCGGGGAGGCTGGGTCCAGCATTTGACTGAGTCAGGACACCCTGCGGTTTGCCCTGCTCTGCCCTGACCAGCTGCCCTGACTCTGCAAACCATTCTCACCCTGAGACAGCGCCCTGTGCGTAGAGGAGAGGATTATGACCTGCACGCAGCCCTTCTGATGGCTAAGATGATGCAGTGACAATTAATGGGATGATATGATCCAACACAGAGCTTCTTTTGTGAAAGAGGTCATGTGACCATCTGATTTCAGTAAGTGATATCCAAGGGGCAGGGGAGGCATGCAGATATCATGGGTTTGAGATGCTTCAGAGAACACTGAGAAGCTAAGTGTTTGCATGTCAAAACAGAGACAAGGGGGCAGGAATCACACAGCTCCACTGTATTCGTGGGCCCCCTTCACACACAATCCATCCTTAATAGAAATGTCACCCCTCAGTGTGTGACCGCAGAGGATTCCATTCTACAACATTTTTGAAAATACAGGGAGAAGCCACTGGTTTCCAGGGTATGGCATGCCATTCTCAAGTGCAGGTCTGGAAGACGGTGAGACCCAAACGTGTGCAGTCCGGTTGACAACTCGGCAACCACATATACTTCCCGGCTCAGCTACTGTTCCAAAGCTACATGGGATGTCATTACTGGGGGACTCCAGGTGAAGGAGATGAACTTTCTCAGAACTTCCTGTGGGTCTAGTATTATTTCAAGATGTAATGTTATAAAAGATTAAAATCTTGTGTTATTTTTTGATTGCGAGAGTAACCCGTGATTGTATTCCTGAGGAGTTACTTAGTTGGAAATAGCAGAAATTAGGTCAAGCTGACTTGTGATTGTGGGAGGGATGGGCAGGCCCCCGAGCTGGGGTCTAGGCCCTGGAAGGCCATGCAACACCAGGATTTGGGGAGGCTAGAAGTGGCATCTGTTGCTTGGGTGCCCAGGGCCACCTCTCAGAAAGGTTTTCTCTCTATCCCTCTGCCAGCTGGCCTCGGTCTTTGTTCTCAGCATGTCTATGCAGCAAGGCTGCCGATTGTTCCAGTCCTAAGCAGGAGAGCACACAACCAAGCCCAGCTGGTCTGTGGCCTCCACTACAGCCCTGCCACCTATGGGCACTGGGTACAGTTGTGGGTGCGGGGCCCACTCTGTGATTTGAGAGAGTGCTTAGAGAAAAAAGGAGTCATGAGTTGGCCACACCTCCCCAAAGGTGACTATTACAGAGATAAGTTTGAGAAACGAACAATAAGATGACCACAAGCACATAGACCAGCATGAGTTCACCAAGGTCCCACAAAAAGACAGTTAACACCCACAGTGTGAGGGATGAGGGGAGATTAAAAATAAACTGCTCACAAGCTTGAAAGCAAGATGTTGGGCATATGGAAGGTGCTGCAGGACCCGGAGCTGATGGCAGCATACATCTCTGCACCACTGGCCACAGAGGTGAAGGTGGCAGCTGCAGGACCCTGTAGGAGCTGAGAGCGGATGACAGACCCTGGCTGGCCAAGCCCGGCCACATGGGGGAAAATTTCCTAACTCCACTCTCCTCCCTCCATCCTGCCCTGGAGTGGCTTCTGCTGGTCCAAGTGGCCAGAGGCCAATGTCCAGGTGCCCGTGGATGTAGCCCACTAAGTTCAGCACTACAGATGCAGAGTGAGAGTCTGGGGATTTAGCTCAGTGGCATAGTGCCTGCTCAGCAAGCACCAGGTCATGAGTTTGATCCTGGTACAAAAAACAAACAAAAAACTCAGATGCAGAGCAAGAGGAGGATGGCAGGTGGGCTCTGCAGAGGTGCGTGGAGGACATTTAGCGCATCTGTGTGACTTCAGAAGTTTGCTTTGGGAACAATAAGAGGTCTTAGATTCAAGCATAATGGCACACATCTGTAATTCCACCTCTTGGGAAGGCTGAGGCAGGAGAACTGCAAGTTGAAACTCAGCCTGGCAAACAGTGATTTAGTGAGAACCTGTATTAAAACAATATGACAAAAAGGGATGAGAATTAGTTTAGTGCGAATGCCCTGGGTTCAGTCCCTAGTACCACAAAAAAGCAGGGTGGCCGGGGTAGGTGGGTGGGTGCCCTCAGATTCTGTCTCATTTTTACAGCTGGACTTTCCCACCCACATTGTACTGCCAACATTTCCACGCCTCGAGCAATGTTACTTTAAATATCTGATTAACATTCTACTAACACAGCCACAAGTAACTTCATCCTCTTTTATCCAGCAGTGGTCCTTTCCAGTTTTCCCCCTGTCTTTAGATCTGGACATGTCCTGTTGCAGACTGCCAGGCCATATCTTCCTCTGCATGGCCCCAGTGTCTAGCACAGTATCTGACACAAAGCAGGCACTCAACAAGTATTTGCAAGATAAAAAGAATGAATGGATGGATGGATGGATGGATGGATGGATGGATGGATGGATGAAGGCTGGGTGCTGGAGAGAATTCCTCTCCTCTTTACTGATCACCCAAGGATGCTAATGAATGTACCACTCCGTGTGGTGACAAATAGCAAGCTTTGTGGGAAAGGGCTTAGGCTTTGATCCCCCTTTGGGTTTGGCTCTTAGCTCCTGTGCTTCCCAACTTTAACAAGCAGTGTATTAAAGGAGGTTGCTCCCACCTTAAGCTTGCTCTTTGCAAGATGGGGACACGGGTTCTTACAGGTTTTACCCAGCACTGTAATCCTCAGAGCTCTATCAAGATTATTTTCTCTTCATTTCAGCCACCACTGTTACCGGAGGACTAGTTAGGCAATTGCACAGAGCAGAAAAAAAGAGAAAAAAAAGTAAAGGAAAAAAAAAGTTAAGCTATGCTCTCCATCAAGTGGTCAGTAGAAAAAGCCCAAGGATAGTCATCTCAAGAAGGCAGGAGAGCTGGAAAGGTGATCGAGGACTTCTCTTTGTCTAGACAAACATATGTGTCAGCTTCTCCTCTGCTTTCTGCAAGTACTTTATTGTTGAATATTTAACAAATCCACTCTGGGGAAAGCCTGATTTACCTGTGGGAAACTTATTCGGAGAAATGTTTTTATATTTCAAACTTAATGATCAACAAAAATAAGTAAAAATGTGAGCCCAGCTTAAAATAGATAGTTGGCAGGTCCTCTGGTTCTTTCAGCTGGTGACATGGTTTGGTCAATTTTTTTCTTTTTCTTTTTCTTTTTTTTTTGACAGTGAGTGGATTATTGGGACCAGACCCCTGCTGCTGTTAAATATTTCTTTGATTAATGTCTAGTGCCTTTCCTTGCCTCATTTCTGTCTCAAACTGAACTCCAAACTCCCCAAAGGATGGGCTTTTCCCATCAGTTGGGCTAGCGTGTGCTGGGGCCACCTCTTGACCCAGACAGGATTCTTGTTCTCTTTCTTTCCTGCTCCAAGAATCCTGTTCAGTCTCCATCCTTAACCCCTGCTGCTCCCAGATGTGGACTTATTCAGGGCTGGAACCCAGTAAGGACAGAATGGGGGTTCAGTGTCTGGTGGCCCCATTGCCTCTGTCTCCTTCACCCTGTGTCTTCTGACAGTGACCAGTGGCTTTCCTCTGCCTCTGGCTTCCCAGAAGCTAGGGGCATCCCTGAAGGAGCCGTCCTCTCCCTCACACTGGTTCGTTGTCACACTGGGAGAGTTGCAGCAGCTACCTGGGTCTTGCCCTCTTTTGCTTTCTGCCTGTCACTCACCCTGGCCCTGGACACATGGAAGGACACTGAGCCTTGTTCCCATAGATACAGTCCCTTATCTTTAGCCTCTATTTCAGATCCCAGCTCTCACTGCTGGCCCTCCTGTGTTCCACGCATCCACATCCACCTCAGTCACTCACACCTCTGACCAGCAGCCCCTGTCGCACCGACCTCCTGGCCATCCCTGCCCTGCCTTCTTATCTCTTAAGCTCCTATTTTACTGATGGTCCTTGGGGCGCCCCCAGCCTCCCAGCCCAGATATCCCTCTGGCAGAACCCCAGTGATGGTCAGTCCCAGCATCTCTCCCCACAAGCTGAGCTGGGCATGTCCTGGATCTTGGCAGAGCTCACCATCCTACTGTGTTTGGGACACCTGTCTCCCATGCTTCAAGTTATCTGCCCCCACTACCCCAGCTCTCCTGAAATTCCCACCCTAGCTCTTGGCTATGGCTGCCCATGGTGAACAGATAAAATACATTCTGCCAAGTGAGAGAGAACTTGTCGTGCTGTCCACGAATGCCACCATGATATGCTCCTAGAATGGCCAGTCCCTGTTCCTGGGTGAGGACAGATACCTACTATCAGCCCCTGGATCCATCAAGGATGTGGTGGCACTCTGCTAGCTGGGGTCACTCACTGTCTTTACACAAACGTACCTCAATGCCTCGTGTCTTAACCTCAGTTCTCAACTCTGCTTTCAGGTTGCAGCAAGAAACATCCCAGCATGCAGTTTCTATGTTGCCATTGTCTCTCCCCATGGTTAACCTCATCCAATCATGTCTTGTCCCCAGTTCACTGAAAAGACCAAAGTAGCCTGTGATATCTGACTGGTTCCAAAACCAGACCGCCTCCATCTCCCTGCAGTGTGTCTTACAGTTGGTCACTCATGTTGGAAGGATGCTTCTCCAGCCTGTGAGACCCGCTCACTGCTGCAGTCTGTGTCACCCCACTTTTAGGTAGCCCCTCTCTCTGTCCTACCTATGAGGACTTCACTGTTCCATTCCTTTCAGGCTTCTTCTCTAGCTACATTCTTTTCCCCAGTAACTGACCTAGACTGGACAGTGTCCTTCCAAAATCCATGCTGCACCAGCACTGTGGAAACAGCATCTTTGCAGATGTGATCAACTTGCAGCGAGGTCATAGTGAATCTGAATGGGTCCTAATCCCAGGAGTGGTCCTTCCAAGGAGAGGGTGACTGAGACATAGACATAGGTGAAAACCGAGACTGAGATGGGAGCATTGCAGCTGTGAGCTAAGGAATCCACTGATGCAAAACATGCAAAGGAATCCAGGAAGCGGCATGAAGGATTTTTCCTAGAGCATTCAGAGGGAGTTCAGCATGGTCCCACTGACATTTCACTTGCAGACTTCTGGCCTCCAGAACTGTGGGAGCACAAATAGCTGTTGTTTTAAGTGTCCTGGTTTGTATATTTTATGACAGCAGCCACAGGAAACCTAGACCCACGATCCACCCACTCCCTTTCTGAAAATGTATTACTCAAGTCTAAGCCTGAGTGTGGGTCCCACACAGGACCACCACAGGGGCTGCTGATGTCACCTTCTGGATGATGTCAAAGATGCACCAAATGTCACACGGCCCAAAGAAAATTAACCACTGAATGCCTCTAAACACACTTCTGAAACCTTTTCCCTGCTTAGGAATTGAAACTTTCCACGACCTATGCTGAGGTTCTTGGGATGAAGGACAGTGAGAGGATGAGAAGATAAAGAAGAGGAAAAATGCTGGGGTCAGGAGGAGCCCTTATTCTCCTGATGGGAGAGAAGAAACTGCTCAATTACTGTAATATTTATACACTCAAGAGAAGGAAGTCAATTTTAACCCTGCCCTCCTAACTTGTTTGCCTGGCTGGCCTGGGCCCCTCAACTTCTTGGAGCTGGAACAGATTTTTTAGTGGCTTGCTTTGAGCTCTCTGTGTTTTCAGGGCTGGCCTTGCTTTAGCCCCACATGTGTGATCAATCTCCAGTTTCAGTGGCTCCCCACAGAAACTCACATCATTTCTTAGCCCAAACCCATCAAGTTCCTTTCTACGTTAGCTAGGTCATCATGAATGCCAGAACCTTAGT